AAAAAAAATTTTTTTTTTAAATAATCGATTCTTGCCTTCAAGAATCGATTCAGTAGATCACAAAAATTAGAATCACGATGCATCGATTTGACGATTATTTTGCACACCCTTAGTGGGCAAACAAGGATTCTTCTTCTTCTTCCTCTCAGAAAAAAAAACCCAGAAGCATTACGGGGGTGTGAATGAAATGAAGTTCTTGCTGTAAAATTGACAGACCGTAGTAGCCACGTTTGCTCAGCCATGTCTTTGTCCAAATAAGTCTTTGTTTTCTTTTTATGGCTTTCAGCACAAAATTGCACAAATTGCCAAGGCAGCGCGTTTCACTCTAGTGAGCTTCATATTCCCCTTATACTGATTTGGCTTCAGGATAGACGAGTCCAAGTAGCTCCATCTCACCCTGGAGCTGAGTCCGACATGGTTTTTAGACGTACAGTGTGAGCAGGTAGATCCCATCAGAGCGTCGTGCTGCACAGTGTGAGAACACGCATTGTGAGCTGTAAACTTTTAAACCCTGCAGGTTTTGTTATACAGTTTGAGCTGTAGCTGCGTGCTATGATTGAAAATATCACACAGTGTATGCCCGGCTTAACTCAAAACATTTTTTAAGTAAAGTTCTTCAAAGTTTCGTTTTGCCAAAAGAAATCCTATTCAGAAATTAAACTTTCAAAACTTTCGAATCCCCCAAAAATGTTTTGAGAGTAACTTCTCTATTTCTTTCACAGATTTATTTTTCATGTTCAATTATATCTATTTTTTTTTTCTTTTTTTTAAAATTTCTCTATTTTAAATTGAGTTAAATTTCTTTCTTTTCAATTTGCTTTTTTTTCTGGTCACTTCCTCCTTCCCCTGGAGGGAGGAGTGAAGACGCATTCCTTTTGGTCTGCTGGTTGTTAACAACATTTTATTGGTGAAGAATGAGTAGATTTGGCTTATAGTGAAGAAAATGTTATCTCTGGAACATAATTTGAAAATAGTTTGATCCATAAAACCAGAGAATCAAGAGAAATGTAAAAAAAAAAAAAAGAATAGAAAAAAAGTTTGGAAAGAAAACAAACAGCAATGTAATTTTAAAACTTCATATCTGGATGGCTTTTTTTCCAAACATCCATTTATAATTGAGTTCTTTGCTTGGAACAAAATGAACTCCATATTTTTAGTGACTCAACATTAATTGTTACATTAAAAGGGATCCTGCGCATGTTTCTGCAGAGCTGAATTGAATTGGAGCTGCTGGCCTATGGAAAACATCTGGAAGCATTTTTTCTTATTAACAATAAATGCTGCACTGGCCCAGGAACTACGGAGAAATTAGTCATAAACCTGACAAATCTTGCCTTATGACGGTTACAGTGTGTGCGCCGTGCAGTAAACAAGCCCAATGATGATTATGCATAACGTTACACCGTCTATGCTGCTATTGTGTGCATGGCAATTCCACATGTCAAGAAAGAAATGGTGAAAACATAATTATTTTTTTTTTAAGATTTGTTTTATTAACAGAAGCTTTTACAAGATGTTTATGGTGTATAGCAAGCATTTACAGTTATACTGAAAATTGCATTTTATGAAACAAACTTGCTGATATAAAGTCTTACAAAAAACACAATAAAAAGGACGATGATTTTAGATTTTTAACACCAAAAGAAAACAACAAAACAAAATATAACAAACTTTTCCCCTCCCAACCCCCCACCCTCCTTTCTTGCATGGTTCTCAATATCCTTTCATTTCTGTACACAACACATCAATCTGAGCGAATTTATCTCCGTATAATCCACCACACTTCTTCTATCAAGGTACATTAGTGAGGAAGTTATATAAGAAGAACCTGCAAAGGGCTAATTTGAAGCCGGTCCAGAAAGACTCGCTTATGGAAGTAAATCTGTGTCGCTGGGATTTGAATTAAAAATGCTACTGACATTTAAATGTTGTATGTTTGTACTTACTGTTTCAGTGTTAAAATATATTCAGAACACATTTTTGATTTCTACACAGTTAAAATTT